GTAACAGAGGAGGTATAACATATGAAGATTTGTATAGCATGTAGAGTGGACGGGGTTTGCCCTCATCCAGCCCTGTCCTCACTGCAGACTTAATGAGCGCAAGAAATGCTGGAAAAGGTGGTTAGCAGCTAATGATCCTTTTCCTGCGATATCACGTGGACCTGGTCTGCTTTGGTTCGCTCTGTATTTGGCCCAATTTCACTGCAGGAAAACACAGTGACAGAGCGAACAAACAGAGTTCTGCTGGTTCTGAGTGGCATGACCAGTGTTATGTTTTCACAAGCTGTCCTGCATAGCATGCTACAGTGAAAGGCTCATTCCTGGTGAGATGCTAAAGATAATATTTAGCCTTCTGGGCAATTTACACGTTTGAAAACAAGGTTTGGTGTTTGTAATGGCTCTTTATGTTCTCACAAATTGTACCATACGGTACTGTAAATTATAGCTTCGGAAGCACAAAGTTTGATTATATTCAGTGTGTAGGTGTCTTGAAAGGGATCTGAACTGCTTGGTCTTGTGCAGCTACAACAGGGTGTTTTGAATCGGATTAATTCCCCAATCATCCTTTTTCATGTCTTGCATCTGCTCTGTGAATATTTTCCCCTTGCTCATCATACTGACAACAGTGCACTGGCATATTGTGCCAGCTGAGAAACTTAAACATTACAAGCATGTGTGCAGCACTGTTACCTTTCATCAAAAACAGATCTCTTGTGATCTGATTAATTGCACGTTCTTGGAAATGTTCTCAGGGCAGCGAGACAGTTCGACAGCTGTGACACTGTCTGTGAACTTTTTGGATTATTGCATTGTTATTGTTGGAAGATGCTCTGTTAACTCAAAGCACACGTGACATGGTAAAAGCTCGACTATGACTGATACATTTCCATTTTGACAGCAGGATTTTATTTCTTCTTAGACTTTAGACTACTTTATTGCTGTCTACTGACAAAGAAAAAAGCACCACCCGATTTTCAGCAGTAGGTGACAGGCAGACAATACTAGTGGTATTAGCAGCACCTGTGCTTTTCCTGCCATGATAAGTCAAAATGTCTGCAGAGTAGCTTGATCATGTTTCATGTTTTATTTTGAGATTTAGATCCTGAGACCTTTGTACAATAAATGAATCTATTGTGAATGTTTGACCTCAGTGTTTTTGGTTTGTGTCTGCTAATTTTACAAAAAACAAAGTCTAAAATTGACTGCGGTCTACCTGCTCGGCACCAGACAGCACACAGACAAAGTGAGCTCATCAGAGCAAATATTAGATTTACATTCATCGTGTGGTCTAAAGCACAACTTCAAATGCATGCTACTGTTATCTTGTGTTTGCAGGTTGTGCCTCAGCTCAGTCCACGCAGGTTCAAGCTTGTATCTTCAGTTTACTGCCATAATGTGTCCATCAGAATCCAGGCCACACAAATGTGCTGAGGTGTTTTGTGCTTATCTTTCTTGGATTAACTGTAGAAGTGAGGCTACATGCTTTGTGACATTCAGCTGTCTTAAAGTGTCACTCTTCTCGCTGTCTGTGTTCACTTGTGCCACACAATCACAGACACAATCAAAGCTCGAAGGAAAGTCACAGGGCTAAATAATTTTTTTACCTTTCATACAGCCTGCTTTAATGATGGGTTGAAGACAGTCAGGCTCCACAACCCTTGGTGGATGGTGTGAGCGTTTGGCAGAGAGATACCAGAGATGAAGTGGGTCATTTCAAGTTGCAAAGCGGTCTCTGAGGTAGCCAGATTAACAGCCAGACAGAGAGGTTTCATGGTGGTTGTGAGAGAGCAAACGGCTTGTCACTACATTAGGTAACCGCTTCCAGCAGCGGATTGGTTTGTTTCACTGTGAGGAAGTACCACAGACAGTGTTGGGTGACATTCACCATCTGTATGTTGTGACTGGGAAGGCCAACACAGTTCTGCCTCATTACATATCAGATTACTGCAGGTCCATTAGCCTTCTTGTCCCACAGATATTACTGGTTCATGTAATGACATCATGTAACTACAACCAGGAGCTGCTTCTGTTGACAACTGGAGTCTCTTTTAGCCAAAATTGTAAAAGAGCAAAAAGCAGATACTGTATATTAAATTAGACAGGGCTCTGTTTAGCAAATTTCTGTGTGTACCATGAAAATGGGTTATAGGAAGTTTGAAGATGTCACATTTGGTAGCTTACCTAAAAATGTGACAGAAGGAAATCTGTCCTTATAAGCTTGATGAATGAACATTTGAAAAATCTAATGCTGCCAAGGTAGAAGATCCTGTGAGAACTCATTAATATCTCCACAAGGCTTTAGAGTTAATCACAGTCTGGAGTATGTGTGATGAATGAGGACTTAGAGGTGTATTATAGGTACATTTTTGCTGTTTGTCATTTAGCTGGACCTTTGGCACACACCGTTTAAGAATTAAACTTCATGTTTAAGCTTTGAGACCCCCAACAATAGAACCAATAACTGGTAAAGTGATGGCTGACACAAAAAGAAATAAGCACCCATGATAAGTTAATTCTTAGTCCAATGTCGACTTCACTTCTCAAGCCCTTATATTCTCCTCACTTCCCTCAGATGCTGGTTCATCTGCTCACCACACCCTGCTTGTACCCATTGTTCCTGGCTCTGTATGTGTTTCCAGTTTTGCTTCTGCCTATGAATTCTTGGACTCTTTCTCCTGCCACTCTCATGATCTTTGGATCTACCTGCCAGCTTGGATTTTTGGTTTGTTACCTTGTGTTTTTGGAGTTTAATTTTATGTGCTTCAGTTATTATTTAGCTCCCTGACTGAAATGTTTCATTGTAGTGTTTGGTAGTCATATTGTTGTGTGTGGTTGAGCTCCCAGAGTTTCTATTTGTCTCTCGGTCTTGTATCAATTATATTAAATGTACTAAATACTCTTCCTCAGTTTGCGTCTGCATTTTGGGTCCCCCCTAGCCCAAACCTTGACAGTATGACTATTTGCATTTCAGATTACTTTAATAAGCATCAATTAGCTCTGCGAATTTCAGCATGAAGAAAGCAAAATCAAGCAAAACAAAATGTTTTCTTTCTAAACAACTCCTTCATAGGGACAACATGCTACAGAACAAAATAGCAACACAAACAAAAACAAATATGAAGTAGCTGTTCAGAGTGATCTGCTGCTGCTTGTTTCTTTGAAACAGCAAAAATATTTTTGCCTTTTTTACACCAAAAAGTCACATGCGAGTGCAGAGCTATTCTGTATGTATGTGTACTGTAGCTGTAACTCGAATAGCATATGTGATAAACAACAAGGTCCTTTCTTTGACCAGTGTTGGTTTAAAAGTTGTCAAAACATGGAAATTTGAACAATCAGAAAAGCTTGTAAATGGACTTGCTTTGTCAACTACTGTTTGTGTACTGCAGTAGTCACAAAAACCTTTGTTCTCGGTGAGATCCTGACCTCAGTCATTACTGCTTCACTGAACTGAGACCCTGCCCTTAAATGTTTTTGCAAGTAGAGAATGCACAGGGAGGTCCGAGTCAAACGAGACTCTTCCTCCTCTTGATGTACCATATAGCCATGCAGCTTGGTTTCCTCTTTCCTTTTTTTAATAATAACCTCTATAATGTGTATAATAACCTGTTGCAAACATGTAGCTCTCACACAGATCCTGTTATCCTCCTTTCTTCTCTCCTTCTCTCGCATACATGTACAGATCCAGTGCTGCTTCTCTCTGCTCGTGCAGCTCCACCCACCTGCAGATAAAAGCCAAGCACTCACCAGGACTGCTGTTCACCGTCTGTCCCAGACTTCTCAATGCTCTGTGATACATCCACCCTGCAGCAGCACAAAAACAAAGGTAAGTGATGCATCACCACTGGCACAGTAGTAATTATGAGCTTTAAAGGCATGACCAACTTACACTTGGAATGTTTTTAAATGCTTTTCTTGCGGGGGTGTCTGATTGCAGTGCCTTGCCATGGCTCATTTTCCCTTTTGTGTCAAACTGCCTTGTGTGATTTTTGGAACAAGACACAAGTAACATGTGTATGTCACATGATTCACAGAAGAACCAAAGAAAAGAAGAATGTTTCACAAAACAGCCTACATCACCAAGCTCACCCCTGTGACGCCTCTTCTGACAAAGCTCTCTGCAAATAGTGTCTGACAGTTTTCTAATGCTAAGAGAATCCAAAAGAGACACCTGGAAAAAATAACTGTGGATTAAGCTTGCTAAAATAAATGCACGATGCAGCTTCTTGACACGATTCCGCACCAGTTAATGGAATGTCTTGATGTCTTAGAAATGTAGACACATTTTCATCCAGTGTTTGAGGAGAAAATGGACTCTATGCTAAGATCACTGTTTTGACTAACTATGTTTTCAGTCTTCAGTGTCGTTCATATTTGAGTCAGATTTAAAATGGCTTTCTTAGTGGGGTGGTTCAAAAATGGCAATATCTCTGTCCATGCAACCTTTTTTTGCCTCTGTATCCCCTCAGCATACCTGGATCACAGAGTATCTGTGCACCTGCCAGGAACCAGTAGGGAATCCCGCTTCACACCTTGTGTGAATTTATTAAAGTGTTAAATATATCCTGTTTAACTATTGTTTCTTCAGTGCTTTTTCGCTGAAAGTAGAATGAAATGTGACTTAATAGCTGCTATAACTTGCATGCAAACGTAAGTTGCATGAAAGTGCACATGTGGTGCAAGGAGAAGATGTGGAAAAAGTTTAGTTCTTATGGAACTGAGAGAAACTTTGTTAGAAACTTTGCAGCTGTTTCTACTATTCGTGTTATTTTAAGTGATGTTTTTTCTTCCTCAGAGAGAAAACTTTTAATTAGGGGAAATGTGGTAAAGAAAGCTCATGCAGCAGAGGTTGAACAAGTCACACAATTAATTGACTGATAGTTTTTGATTACCATATGCTGTTGACATCAGCAAAATATTATGGGATTTTGTCACACAGTACCAAGCAGCAGAGCTGTGGAAACACATGACATTGTTCTGCAGATGTGAGGAGGTCAAGAAAGATTGAATACATCAAGAGAATGTAGAGCATTTATTTATAGTGGCATCATGTCTGGATTGCAAGATGTTGTATGCATTTTTGGGGGGTGTTTGCTGAACTATATGTTATTATTATGTTTATATTAGAAACAGGAGGACATTTGAAAAAAAGTAGCAGAAAGTTCATGTAGGTTCAGAGGTCTGACTTTACATACTGTAGTATGGATCTTGAAGTTATAATCTGAGTAATCATATTGTCGGTGTCAACATGGAATTAGAAATTAGAAGCTGGCATGAACAGTTTTCCTGCTCAGCTGCTTGTAATTACAGTTTAAACTATGATGTGAATGCTGCATCGTTAATGAGCACCCTGCTGGTTGCCTGGCAACTTAGAGCAACAAAACTCTAGCAGGTGCCTTCATCTGGCCAAGAAGCAGCCCAGTACGTAATTCCCTAAAATCACAACATGTTGCTTTTGCACTTGAATCTTTCTATAGACCAAACAAATGTGAGTAAACATTATACTTAAAATGTGAAAGATACCATTAGCCATTACAAACTGTCTTTCTTTAGTTAAGTTTGTTCCACTAGAGCAAACTGGGTGCTGTAATGGAGGATATAAATATTTCTCATAAGGTTTGTTGTACTGGCTTTTGTTATTGTTGAAATGTGTTTGCTTTGACCAGAAGCAGTGAGGACTGCAGAAGCAAACCTGGGTGAAAGTTTGAATGGTCTTGGTAAACGGTCTTATACTTGTATAGCGCCTTTCTATGCTCTTACAGCACACTCAAAGCGCTTTCACATTATTCGGCCATTCATCCATTCACACTCCCAAATTCACGCACCGGGAGCAACTGGGGGTTCAGTGCCTTGCTCAAGGACACCTCGACATGTCGACTGGACAAGCCGGGAATTGAACCGCTAATCCTCCGGTTAGGAAACGACCCACTCTACCTCCTGAGCCACAGCCGCCCCCAGACTGTAGGAACATCTGTGCAGAATTTGATGTCAACAGACTCTGACTATGTGTGTCACTCAGTTAATGTCTCTTGATGGTATTTTCTCCCTCAGTCTTGCACTCGGTCTCCTCCAAAGCTCTCACCTACTGAACAGGAAGCTTTTATGTACCTCGGAGGGAATGTGTCTCTTGATCGTGCAGCTGCAGTCCTTGTGATTTAAGGCCATGTGTCCAAATGCTCTCCTGCTACCGTGCAAAGTACCGCTGCCTCAAAGATGTCTTGAAATATGACTTCAGTACTGTGGAAGTTTTTCACTGGTGATCAAAAATAGTTTTTCTGTTTTAATGGTAGTTTAGTTTCAAATAAATACTCTGAAGTTACAACTTTAAATTTTGCAGATTTATTGCAAAGTATCTATTATTTAAGTTTACAGAGTTGTTCTTCTTATTGTCCCTCATAAATACTCCACTGCAAAGACATCTGGACAGTAGAGAAAGGGAGGATTGTATTTTTACTCTCAGTGGCATATTTTACAGTGTGCTGTGTAACACATTAATTTTCCTGGAACTGTTGTCATATCTCATTACTGTCACTGGTCAGATGAGGCAATTTTATGATGTCAATAAATTGATACATGTGTCAGAAAGTCTAAAGTTTGAAATCCCCAGTGATTCACTAAAAGTTATAGGTAGAAAAGTTGTCGGGAAGCCATTATGAAAGTGAAATTGTCAGCAACAAAGTCTAGAAAACCCCCTCCTGCAGCCAAGTCAGCATTTAGTCAATTTTTTTATATTAAACTGTTCACATCCTCCAAATTTCACCAGTTACTGCTCATCTGGAAAGTTTCATTTGATCACTTGGAGGAGATTTTCAATGCCCTGTGTGTTTAAATTGCAAAAGCCTTCATCTTAGGTTGTTGGAAATCTTCCATCAGATTGCAGCTGAGCTTTTTTGGCATTTTTGTGCCTTTGTCAGATGCTTTGGCAGTTGTGGAGGAAGTATTCAGATTCTTAATCAATCAACCAAAACCAATGCAACAACACTATTAGTGTATTAGTGTATAAATACAACTAAATACAATGGAAACAGATTTAATGTACAACACATGTATGTAAGTTTCCACTGAGAGAAACAAAAAATGACAGCAACATCACACCTGTGCTGAGTAATTAGGAGCCTGTAGCCTTTCTTGAATTAAAGCAATGAAACAATCATAAATGCCATATTTCCATCATGTTTGCTGCATGGTTTTACATTTTCAGGATTGAATGGCACTGTTTTAATCACATAGTCTCATTGCAGTTTTCTTGGTTTCATGTCGTCCAACTGGAGAATCAGTATCACCAACTGTTAATCTTGATGTGCTTATTTCTTAAAATTTGAATTACACTAATAAATGGAGATGTCTTAATTGACATTTTTTGTTGCTGATTTTATGAAAATCTGCTCAAAATTTGCTCTACTTGAATGGAAACTAGACTTTTGTCAGAGGTCACAGAGAAAAGGTCAAGTTAAAAGGTCGTTACTATGCTACCAGATAAATACAGTGGAGCAAAAAGTACAATATTTCCACTGAAATGAAGTAAGCAGAAGTATTAAATATCATAAAATAGAAAAAGTAAAGTAAAAGTACTTAAAACTGTACTTAAGTACAGTAGTCAAAATGCCCTTGTGCTACTGCTCATTGGAAACAGAAGAAGGGAGACAACATGAGGCCTGTTGTACAGTGAGGTTGTTCTTTTCTGGTTTACACGCAGTACACAAAATATATTTATGCAGCTGCAAACTCCAGAATTCCCCACTGGAGCCTGTGGTTTAAACATAGTACAAGTCATCAGATCTTATTATTGGCAAAATGTTGTTGTTGCTCAAAAAATGATCATTCACTTGTGGATTGTCCATTTGAGAGCCAGTGCAAATATAATAGAGTGAAAAAAAAGATGTGGCAAAACCACATGAAGTTCAGGCAAAAGACTTGAATTAAATCACCGCTAAAAGTAAAAGCTTGGAAAGGCCTCACAAGTGTTTCCTTCCTGCTGTGTGAGATAATGGAACATGCCTTGTAAAATAAGCTGTCTCCAGACCAAGAATACATTCTTGTTTCCCAGTGGTTTTTTTCTCTGAACATGTGAACAGCTTCTGTAAAAGTATGTAAAAATCTAAAGGGCTTCTTGGTTCTGAATTGCTATTAACTGCTGTCCACTGACACCAGATACTGTGTTTTGACAGTCAAAGCTAATAGGAAAATAATTCTCCTCCCTCTCTGATTATTTTACCTCTAATGAAAATTGTGGCCAGACATTTGGTGACTTGTGGTTTCCAGAACCATAGGAGAGGAAAAGTCTGTCAGTGAGATGGGTGAAGAGGCCGCACAGACTGTGTGGATGTAAGTGTGAATGGAAGGGAGGCGTGCATGCAATTATGTGCATGTATGTATGAGTGTGTCAAAGGTTAGTGGCGCAGTAAGCAAATATTGCGGTTCCCTTTCGTGGTCACTTGGTCATTTGGAATATCACTTTAGAATGTGTTACCGCCTTAAAATGAGGCTTTTCAATTCATCTGAAGGTCAGCTTATCTCTTATCTGCCTCGTCAGAAAGGTCAGGTTGTGCTCTGAAAAGAGGTCAAGTACTTGTGAAGGTCTGCAGAAAAAACACAACATAGTCTGAAGCAGACTTGCAGAAAAAACACAACATAGTCTGAAGCGGGTGGAGCAGACTTGTGCGTCTTGCCATATTGTTCAGCATGAAAAAAACGAAATGTTTTCTCTCCCCATCAAGATAAGCAGAAACAGGGGGAAATGAAAATGTTACTTGATGACTGAACTGGGATAAATCACCTGCTCAGAGACAGAAAGGGCTGTAAATTGAGAAAAGGAAACCAGCGTCAGGTCTAGAATGTGCTCATAAGATGACTTGTGGTTTGTTAGAATAATGCAGCATTGAGAGATTTGTTGTTGTGCAGACTGTCAATGGAAAATGGAAGGCATGATGCACAAAACCAATGTCCAGTATATCTGCTGATTATTTTTTCAACATTTGGTGTACAAAATGTCAGAAAAGAGATGAATGCTCATGACCACATTACCAGAGCCTATGGTGATGTCCAAAAACTGCTGGAGTTGTCTGACCATCTGTCCAAACCCCAGAGCAATTTAAAAAGACAATCCAAGTAAAGCCACAAATCTTCATATTTAAAAAGCTGAAATCAGACAATTTTTGGCATTTTTACTTAAAAACCTGGAAAATTTTGAAAAAATAAAATAAAATCACCTTAAGATATGATGATGTCAAGTCTCTTAAGACTTAGGCCTGCCTAAAGTTCAGCGTGAACACAAGGATCACTAGAGGTGGAGTGTTTTTCTTATGAAGGTTATGTAATACACAGCAACAACTCACACACATACACACACACACACACACAGGTGCATTCCCCAGATGTTGTCCTGGAATCCTTCTGTCAGCTGATCACTGGATTCCTTCATGCTTGTGTCTGTGTGTGTAAACTCTTTCACACTGCCTTGACAGAACTGTACCTCTGTAAAAAAAGAGACTTTAGAGATAGAGAGGCTATAATTGTTGAGGACAGAAGGACTGAGATTGTGCTGGGCCTCAGAGCCAATAACTTATTTGCTTATTATTATAAACAATATAGCGTTTATTGTTTTTTTCCATGTCTCGTTCTGCTATGTTTGTCAGGGTCGGAGCGTGAAGCTGGCGATAATGTCATGGGTGAACTCAATTAAATAGCCAGATGAGGATAAGTAAAGAAACACCATCTCTTTAATAAGAGCACTGACAATGAACAAAAAATGATACCAGACACTGTTTAACCACGAAACACACTTACAGGTCAATAATACAGTCCAGTGTCAGAACCAGCAAACACATACAAGGAATCCAAAACACGTTGTCCAAAAGGGAAGTCCGATAAGCCGATATATAGAGAAGCAGTCCGAGTTAGAAGGGCAAGGCGATACTCGGTGGTCAAAAACAGCAATCCAGGGTCAGAAACTAGAAAGTCAGAAAAAAAAAACACAAAAACCACCAGGCCCACAAACAAGAGTCCAAAAACAGAGACAGGGGGATCTGGGACCAAACAGGCGACCCTGGAAAACAGGGTGCGAGGCAAGAGTCTGGAGAGGCCGCTCGGGAGGGCGGCCACGCTGCCAGGCAGGAGACCGGAGAAGCGGCCGACCATGGCACCAGACAGGGAACTGGAGGAAAACAGAAGACAAGGCATTGTCAACCCACGAAGTAACAGGCATCGTGGCCGGCGGCGCGGCTCGAGGACCGGCTGGATAATAGGCTGCAGCGGCTGCTGTAGCTGGAGGACTGGCTGGATTGGCGGCTGTGCTGAGACGACTGTGGCCCCCTTGGGAACTGGGAGGAGTGGGATGCCATCGTCCTCAGCAAACCCCTCGAGAGCTGGAAGGAGTGGAGAGGCGTCGTTGTCAACCCATCCAGGAACAGGAACAGGCTCGAAGGCGGCGTCAGCGCGCTGGCCGACCCGCTGGGAACAGGAACGGGCTCGGTGGGGGTGTCGGCACTGTCGGCGAACCCCCCAGGAGCAGGGAGAAGGGAGAAGGGGGGCACCGTCCCTGTCAGCAAACCCCTCTGGAACTGGGAGAAGTGGGGCGGCATCACCGTCCCTGTCGGCGATGACCTCTGGAGGAAGGACTGTGGTGACATAGCAGCCATCGACCCACCAAGGAATAGGAATAGGAACAGGCCCAAAGGTGGCTTCGGTGTACCGGCCAACCCGCTCAAGGACAGGAACAGGAACAGGCTTGAAGGCAACGTCAGCTCGCCGGCCGACCCGCTCAGGGACAGGAAGAAGGAGGGCGCTGTCACCATCAGCAAACCCCTCGGGGACTGGGAGAAGTGGGGCGGCATCGCCGTCCCTGTCGGCGAAGGCCTCTGGAGGAAGGACTGTGGTGACATAGCAGCCATCGACCCACCGAGGAATAGGAATAGGAACAGGCCCAAAGGCAAACAGGCGTGAAGCCGACGTCAGCTCGCCAGCCGACCAGCTCAGGGACAGGAAGAAGGAGGGCGCTGTCACCATCGCCAAACCCCTCAGGGACGGGGAGAAGTGGGACGCTGTCCTTGTCAGTGAACCCCTCTGGAGCTGGGAGCAGGGGAATGGAGAGGGCTTTGGCGGTCCAGCCAAGCCCCACAGGACCAGAAGCAACTGCCTCCATTGGCGTGTACTCGTTGGCACACTGCAGACTTGGTACCTTGGCGGGGACGCTGTCATCGGCGCACCTGGGTTTCTCGGTCTCAGCGAGGACGTTTGGGTAACCATGCCAAGGGGCTGACTCCGGGGCGTCGTCGGCGCGCTGGCCGACCCACTGGGAAACAAGAACGGGAAACGGTCGTTGCGTGGGGCGCCTCCCCCTGCGGGGGTGGTGTTGGTGGAGGCTGCCACTGCCAGGCTTGGACTGCTGGGGCTGGAGTCTTGGCTAAGAGGAGGGCTGCAGCTACTGGAAACTGGGTACAGGAACAGGAACTGGCATTGGCGGTCTGGCCGACCCGCTTGGAAACAGGTACAGGAACTGTGGCCCCAGTTGACGCCTCCTCCTGACTCTCCCTCTCCCTGGACCAGCAGGACAGATAGTCCACCGGGTTCTCTTAAAGGGCAAAGGGTTAAGGACTTAGAGGTCTGCACCAGTGGACAATGAAGAGGTGCAGAGTGATGATTAAAGTAAAAAGTCTGAAACTGTGGTGAAACAAAAACAGGAAGTAATGTCAAAATAAAAGTACGGCAGGAAGCAAACGGAACCAAATCATGACAACGTTCCCATATGACCTTCATTACTGTAACATGCTCAGAGGTGTCTCCTTTGAGGTTTGAAGACATGTTTCTTTTGAGTCCTGTCCTGCCATACTAATAGCTGCCCACTTTCATCAGTCTAAAACAAAAGCTTGGTCTGACCAGCACCCGTATCTGTAAGCAATGACATGCCTGTGTTCCTCATCATTTGTTTGAGCGGTAGAGTCCCCCATCTGGATTTGGTCAGGAGAGGAACATTTGATTATTTTAAAATCAAAGCCGGAGCTGATAAAAGACTTGTGGCTCATCACCAAGCGGAGCCGGCTGTGGTTGGTGTGCTGGCAAAGAGGTTCAGAGGAACCAACAGTGAGAGATGTGGAGGTGTCTGAAGGGTTTTCATCAAAGTTGAGTTCATGCAAGATGAAAGGTAAAAACATAAGGAGGAAAGTTATTTGAAGAATGGATTGTATGTTTTTTGGTGGTGAGATGTGAACAGCATGCAGTCAAGTAGAGTTTGACTGTTGAACCATCTGTCTACACATATTTTGCTGTTTCAGTAATATTGTGCAGCAACAACACGAAGTATATGAAAATGCTAGACTTCATAATACTGCAAAGGCTTCCCTGTCAGACAAAAAAGCAAAACAAAAAAAAAACAAAACACTTAAGTGAAGAAAGCAGCTTGCATACCAGCATCACCTATAACCTTGTCTCCTTGAAATCAAATGTTGGCAATCTTATAATTTTCTCCAGCTAAAGGAAAATAAATGATTTTACCTGCTCCTCCAAAGTCCACAGCCATTCTTTGGAACAGATAGGACTCCATTTTTGCAAAGGTAGGTCAAAGCTGTAGCCACAAGCTTCTCCTCTGACTTATAAATCACAGGAGTTATCCAGGCATGTTTCCTTCAACTCAGAAGCATCTGTAGGTGTCTACTTTCTCATGCTGACCTCTAACAGGTCATACATGCTGTTATGCTGGAATATTTGCAATTTACTCTACTCAGGGGCCAATTTGTTCTTGTTAAAGCTGCTTTGTAGGCCTAGATACTGGAGGTTTTTGTGAAGAGTTTTCATGTGATTCAGTGTTGAAAACTCAACACTGAAGCAGATGTGTAGTCCCTCTCCTCTGTTTCTGTAGAAAATGCTGTTAAAACGGACCTATCATCATATACAGTATCTACAGTATATATATCTCTCAGTGTCTGCAGACTCTGTCCATGGTGCTGGATCTATACATCATAAAAAGCTTCCTTTACTTTAAAAGACTCCTGTATACAGTCAGACACATCTTTTTAATCAGATAAATTGGATTTAAAATTATTATAAAAACTTTAATATGATGATTTTTTCATCATAGTCAGTGTAAACACAAGATGTGTTTGTTGTATATTTACTGTGTCAATATTATTTATGATGCTTTATGTTGTATTGAATACCCAAGATTTTATTTGACTGGTTTTTATTTTGGCCTGGTCTGAAAGACGCAGCCTCATTTGAAGTTAGTTGTCTGACTTTACCAGACTACAGTTAGGGTTGTAGGTAGTAATAGATATACAATCAGGTGCTTGTTTGTGAGAAAGCACCTACTGAACCTTAACACACACCAGATATATTAAACTCTGTTGTAATTCTGAGGCTTCTGAAATTAAGAAGCCCACCATAACAGCAAATACATAATGTTTCACATTTATTACCAGCTCCTAAATGAGGTCCATTGATACATTTGAGTATTGTTACAGTTCAGCTACATTTATTTTTATTACCCCTATCCTCACATTCCTCAAGGAAAGAGGTATGTCTCACCATAACTGTATCAGGGTCAAAATATGTCTACCTGCTGGGCATAGCAGCCTAGTGTTACAAATGCCAAGCCTCCACGAAAGATTACCACCTGACAATTATCAAATCTGACGTTTATATTTTTACAGGGCTCGGCAGGACTGGAGCTAACACCTGGCTGGATCCCTGCTTGGCCACTGTCCCACTCATGCCTTGGAAAATACTCAAAGAAGTGACCTAAAGTGAAGAGAAGCAGAGGAAACACCAGACGAAGGAGGCGCAGGTCAACAAGGCGGTGACGACCTTCATTTTATAAAAAGGAGAAATCTGAGAGAATTTGTCATTTTGCATTGGGGGAGGTTGTTGTTGCAAACTCACTACAAATTAAATTTAAAGGGTGAATTGCAAGACTGGTTTTTCACATTTCTGTTCATATCTTAATTTATTTGAAATGTTTTAGATAAACATATGTCACCTGAATTTATATAGATGTATATTTAATATTATATGAAGCAAAATAGTGCACAGTTTAGTATTATCAAATTCATATGAAATTCTCATTATGGTAATTAGTTGTACGAGCTGTAGGCAATAATTTAGAAATAAGTCTTTATTCCCATCTAATAACTGAAATGTTTGACACATGACAAACAATTTGAGAAATGTAATTCTTTCCCATTTGAAATTTTGATTTACTTTATAGGCGGATCGCTGTCAGCCTTGAAAAAACACATGTAACTGTAGAATGTGAAATTGTGTGATTAAATCCCCAAATTCCCAGAAATATTATGTGGATATAACCACTATGTACAGCTTTGTTTGTACAGTCACACATTTAAATAGCTTGTCTGCTGTTCTGTTGTACACCATTTGTATTTGTAACATACAGATTGTGCAGGAAAATAACTACCCAGGCCAGGATGTGCGTTCTGCACATTAATAATATTCAACCTGACACTACTTAGTTTGCTTTTTAAAGTAACTACCCAGACAAATGTAAGCAGGTTTCAACTTTCCAAAAACTAAGATCTCTCTGGTTCTATTGTAGGATAATCAAATTCCACAGGAAAACATACATTCAGCCATCACTGTTTAGTTTCACACCAGGCTCTTGGCAGCGCTTAGCCAATCTCATTAGCACAGACATGTATAACAGATTAAGGATTCTGTCTAAAACTGACCACATCCCCTGTGGGGCCTCATAATTACAATATATGTTTTAGAAGCATGCACTGCTTGTAATTCATTTCAAAGATATGGAGCTCCGAGGCTTTTACACAGCGTGTTTCAATAGATGTGAAAACAAGGGGAAGGAGGGACAAGACAGAGGTTGCCCATATCCAGGAGATGGAGGGGTTTTGTTTCTCTTCTCTTTCTGGTTTTAGTTCAGCCACTGTGGGTTTTATAAGGCCCAGAGTATTGACTCTTCTGCAAGATCGAGGAGCACAGCCTGCTGGTCACGAAACAGCATGAAGGCTGCTGTGTGTAGACTCTGTATTTAAGGAAATGTTCTAGTGATGGGCAGCATATTACAGACTACAGGGCTTCATTTGCAAGTCTGATTTCTAGCCAGATGAAAACTATGCTGAGAGACCTCAAGTGGTGAGAGAAGGAACACAAGTTTGTTCAGCTATTTAAAGGGGCACTCTATCTATTTTACACATGACAATCAGTTTCGCTGTGAGTACCACTCAGCTTGTGAAAACAGCCGTATAATGTCTTTTGTGACCCTGTGGGGAGCTTTTTAAACTCTGCAAACAGATGTCATTGGGATGATGTTAGCTCGTGGCTTGGGGACTTGAGATGTATAGAAGGAAGTCTGCATTATAAATGAAAGGTGTGACATTTACCAGAAAAACAAACAAAAGACATGGTTCTGTTGCACTGTGGGAAGTGAAGGATCTTGACTCATGCAAATGACTTAAAGTCAGGATATTTTCGCTTCCACTGATTTTGACCTTATTTTGTTTGTTTTGCCTAACTTCATCCCACAACTTTATGAAGATGGGATATAAAATTGCATGAGGAAAACAAACAACCCCTAAACTTCCATAGACCTAAGAAAATGTCCACTAAATCAAGTGTTAGTGCTTACTTTTGGGTTTCATAAAAGTAGTGTAGGGACCAGTTCTTGCTACCATGCTAACTCTGAGAGACGAGACAGTCCAATTAACTTCAAAACAGTGCTGATTTATTCCAAGGATCACAGGTAAAATTAACATTACACGCTCAGGTATCTTGCACCTCCAAACTGCTCGCAGGCAGATGTAAGATGAAAGACCCTGAACCCACCAGGCCTATACATTATATCCCCTCGGTTCGGCTAGCCCCATACTACACAGAAACGTCAACCGGGACGTCTCTGTTGCCAGCCTTGCAGCTGGCCATAGCAGTAGTCAAAACATGAAGCAAATCAATGTGCGTGTGTGTGTATCTGTTGATTAAGTGGTGTGTAACTAAAAACATTCTCACAGACTTCTAGTACATGTCGTGACTTAAACATAAGAACATATTATGGCTAAGGCTACAGTTATACATGTCATAATAATAATATTAAACACCCTGTCTGCTGACAATCATCAACTCTTCTCTCTAGTTATCCTGGACCAGATGTACCCTG